CCTTACCTGTACAAAAGAGACATCAGTCTAATAACCACAAGGTCTGTTTCAGCACTAATAAATCATCATTCTGTTTCCTCTAAGGGAACAACAGCAAGTCAAGAAGTATGAAGTTAACTCTCTCACAGTATCTCTGATCTAGAAATATTTAAAGATACAAGTTGGTCATGAGGAAGAGAGGCCAAATAAGGTATTCTCTTATTATAGATTAGAAAAGATCTGCACACATATTTATTATTAAATAGTAATTATACTCACCTTATGTGAAAATTATAGAGCATATTTTATTATTGTTCCCACATGCTAGGATCTTTTCCCTGGTTATTATTCTAACAGCCATATGAAATAAAGATGGCTGTAGGTGTGCACAGGGGCAGCTGAGACAGAGGCGGTAGGCCATTTGTGTTGCCATGAAAAGTGGGTGAACCTTCAAGGTAGGGAGTTTATGCCCAAATTGACCTTAACCAGACAACCGGAGCAAGTTACTTCCTTTTCTGGGCCTCAGTTTCTACTGAGTCAGGAGAGCCCAGATACATCACTGTGATGGTCTTTTGATGCCTAATTTTAAAATATTTTGTGAAGATAAACAGCATAAATTTTGAACCATCTCATTTCCAGGCCTTGGATTCACTAGAACAATATAATTATTATTAAAGTGCTGAAATATTTTTTATGTATAATCCCAGTAAATAGCCCCTGCCCTGAGTCTCACTAGTACCCAACTCCAAACCCCTGTGGCCACACCAGGATTTGGCAATCAAGGGGACAAAGCCTGGCACTGAGGGGATCAGGGCTCCTGCCAGGCCCTGCTCCAGCAGGAGAGCTACTGATTGGTCCTGGCCTAGGCCATAATAGATATTTCAAGGATCAGTTCTGTCACGCTCAGGCACTGGGTTTCATTGGCAATAAACCCTCACTGCATGCTCAGAGCCACTTTAAAACCTTTGTGATTCCAAGAGAAGAGGATTTCATATCCCCAAGTGACCTCTTCTCCAAGCCAAAATTTTGATCAAGGAGATGGCATTTGATAAAAGTAAAGAGGAATCTTACCCAATGTAAGATTCTCCATAAAACTTGGTTAATCTATTCGTCTCCTGTAAGATTGGTATTTTGCTGAATTCTTATGCATACCAATATGGAATGATCTCTAATATCCAATAAGTAAATAAAAGTTAGAGTATAAATGTGGGTAAATCAAAACATACAAAGGAATACATTTTGTAAAGTTAAAATGGTTAAAAGTGTAATAATGGACTGGTTACCAGCCACTAATACTCTATGACCATGTAGTGTAGGAAGGTCCTAATTTCTGTCTGCAGGGTAGGACTTGGTTGAGGAGAGACCCATGAGGAGAGGGCTGTTGTGCAGATAGAGCAGATAGAGACACAGAGTGCAAGAGACACAGGGAGACAGACTAAAACAAGGGAGGCGGTGACTGTCTATGGAGATGGGGATGGAAATAGGACTGAGGAGATGCTACATTGGTTTCAGTTTTACCTTTTTCAGTTTTATCTCTTTCAGAGATGAAATTAGTCATGTTTTATCTCTTCTAAGAATAAAATATTAGTTGCAAATATAAAACAAACAGTAATAGTTACTTGTTCTAGAAGAAATTCTAGTGTATGTTCTATTGGCTTTTACATTTTTCTATGTTATTTTTTAATTTCTAGGAAGGAATTAAAGTGCATGTTAATAGATTCTCCATGGCTATGCAATTTCCAGGCCCTCAGATGTGATGGTAGGAATTATTTAGAAGCTTTCCCCATCATCCTCACTCAACTTCAGTCTGCCCAGGCATCTCAGATTTCCAAATCAGTCCTAACTAGCCCATTGTTAATTTATAATCCGTGTTTTTTTAATGATTAAAACTAAAGTCATTCTTTGGGCCTAGTGGCGCATCCTGTAATCCCAGAGACATGGGAGGCTGAGGCAGGAGGATTGCAAGTTGGAGGTTAGCCTGAGCAACTTAGCAAGAAAATATCTCAAAACAAAAATTTAGAAATGAGCTGAGGATGTATCTCATTGGTAGAACATCCCTGGGTTCAATCCCCAGTACCATCAAAAAAAAGAAAGAAAGAAAGGCCATTCATTAGTTCAGCAAACATTTATCAAATGCAATACTATGTCAGGCATACTGGGATGAGTGATCCATAGTTGATCTAGGAGGACAGACAGATATATGAGCAATAAAACAACAGTGCACTGCGAATAATGTATAATAAAGGCATTTTTACAATATTGTATGGGAGTTTTAAAGGCACAGTTCATGGAAGGACAACAAAAATAGCCTATTGAGGTTTATAGATGAAGAAAAGAAGAGGGAAATGACACCCATGGAACCCCTCTTATATTCCAATATTGTGGTTTAGATCTCAAATGTCCCCCGAAGGCCCACATGCTAAAGGCCTGGTCACCAGCCTGTGGTGCCACTGGAAGGTGGTAGAACTTTTAAGTGGGACCTAATGGGAGAAATTTAAGTCATTGGTGGATCGTGCCCTTGAAGGGGCTATTGGGACCCCAGCCCCTTTCTGTTTCTCTTGTCTTCTTGGCCACCAGGAGGTAAACAGCCCTCCTCCAGGCCCAAAAGCAATAGAGCCAGAAACCTCTGCAACCATGAGCCAAAATAAATTTGCTTCCTTATAAGTTAATTTCCTTAGATATTTTGTCACCACAACAGGAAGCTGAAGGATATAGCCAGTTACCCACAGATCTCAAAACTCACAGCAACCCCATGGGGTAGGTAACACTGTTCCTCTACTTTGAAGTTGAGGAAACAGAAGCGCTGAGGAGGCAAATAACCCTGTGAAACCAAGAACAATTGCGTTTCTAGCCCAGACTTGAAAATTCAAGGCTGAGAAGAAGGTAGACTTGAAGAGCTAGATTCTACTTTCTCCTAAGGAAGAACTGGGAGACTTCTGGTACCCATGTCATCACTCTTTTTCCTTGGGATACTCACTGGCAATAAAAGATCAAGGTCACATGCAGCTTGAGGCATCTTCTTACTTATCCTAAAATGAGACCTGAACACAATCTGGCTTAATGAAGATCAGTGGGATGCAGGCTTCATTCTAAATAGTCATCTTGCAACGAACTCTTGCCTAACTTCACTAAGTTGCCTGACTTTAGAGGATATTTCACTTCCACCTGTGTGGGCACATTCTTCTGGCCCAACTAGAGCCACAGAAGGCAGCTCGGCTTTGGAGAAGGCATCAGGGGCTGGGAGAGATTCTGAGGACAGCTGAGGGGAGGCACCGCCCTGGGTGCTGCCTAATCCATCCGACATGGGGACACATTGTACCAGAAACAGAATGACAATTAATAGAAAAAATCTGCTCTCACAGCATTGCCAAACTTGTTGCAGGGTCTCAGCTGGTGGCACGCCTCCTCAGGGGAAGAGCAACAATGCCCAATTCTTCCTTTTGGCCCCTGTCCTGATGTTTTCTCAGGTGGAAGGAGGTGGAACTAGGAAGTTTCCTCTCATGATAAGAAAACATTGCCAAAACAATAGTGCCAGTCCTCAAATCCAAAAGCCCAGAATTACAATAAGATAGAGGGCTTGGAGCTCACTCAGTGTTCAGCCCATCTAAATCCACGAAGCCCTTTTGACATATGTCAAGTGTTGGCAGATACAACATCTCTAGCCAAGGTGCCTAAGAGTAATCTGACCTTTTTTAAAGTCACCAAACCCCTCTCTGCTCTTTATCATTTGCCTGCGCATATATTTTTCTCAGTTCAAATGTTTCAGATAATTCAAGAAATGCTGGCTGACCGTGCTATGACTTATTCAGGTTCATCAGATGCAGATTGCAGAGAGACCGAAGACTCCTGGAAAACCAAGCAGTCTGGCCCCAGGTTTTCTGCCTTCCTGTTCCTTTCTGGGTAACTTCTGACCTATCATTGTTCTCAACATTTAAGGGCCACACGGAATCTTTGGAGACTATCACAAAAGCTACGTACAAGTTTCATTCTATGTATAAACACTCAAACATTTGCACGTAAGTTCAGGGGATACTGTTCCAACGTCACTTGTGCACTCTCCTTCAGTCCCTGAGCCCCAAGGTCAGAACCCCAACCACAGACAAAGAAGACACAGAAGTTCATCCTTCTTGGTCACCTAGTCTCACCAGCAGACACCAACCTGAATCTCATCTAAGCAAGCTTTTACCACCCCTTCCTATCCTCCCCCAACCCCTCACATGGAAACCCTAGCTGAAATTCAAGTTTCTGTTTTGGAACTGCCACCCAGGCTCCCTTGAGCCATTTGGTCACATCCATCTCTGGGGCCAGGCAGGTGGATGCTAATTCACCACGTTAACCCCTTTCATGCCAGTGCCCCTTAATGGAGCCTTGGCAGAGTGCCACATTCTAGCACCCCACCCCTGCCATAAAGGGGTGCAGTACTCTGTGCCATGGAAGCTAGCCAGCAGATTAGAAGTCGTGTTGCTCTTGGCATCTGTTCCAGGACTCTGTGTAGAGCTACGTGCTGAAATACCATGGCACGGGCAGCTTTTCAATACCAGAGTCTACCACCCTGCATGGCTGGGCTAACTCCTCACTGAGAGGGGCTCCGAGGACAGCTGAGGGGAGGCACAGCCCTGGGTACTGCCAAAGATGGGGACATCCAAGGATGGATGCAGATGAGAGAAAAACAAGTCACTCAAACCAAGAGTCCCTTTACCCACCAATAATGAAAAAAATAATTTAAAACATCTACTTCAGTTGCCCTCAAATTCAACTTCCTTCCAAATTATCCTCATCACAAAAGACCATCTGACCAATGGTAATCAGCAGCCACGTAAAACCACGGGCTCCACGGGTTGGTTCCCACAGATCTCAACACAGCCTTTAGTCCATACTGAGAACAAGGGTTCAGACAGGAGTCTCCTCCAAGATCACTTGGACCCCACGACCAGAAGCTCGTTCAAGAGACCAAAAAAGATGAAAACAGCATCTTTAGATCAAAAGGAGGCATCTTTTCCCCCAATAAAAATCCATCTTACCCTTCATTCCAAATTTGGACCGTCGACCATACTTGTTGATCATGATGAAGAGAACCACCAAAAGGACGCAGGCAAACGCAGCCAGTCCAACCGCGATGGACACCTATGAAGAGCCAAGCACAGCAGGTCAGGGCAGCCATGGAACACGGGAGAGCCCACATGAGAACAGTCCTACTGCAGAGCAACCACAGCCCACTCCGAACTTAGCTACTGAGTAAGGCCCTTAGAAGATGTATTTTATAACACCCCGTGGTAACACGTGGCTGCAGTTCCAGCCACTCAGCAGGAGGATCAAAGTTCAAGGCCACCTGGGCAACTTGGTGAGACTCTGTCTCAAAATGAAAAGTAAATGCAGGTGGAGATGTAGCTTGGTGATAGAGCAGCCCTGAGTTCCATCTCCAGTACCAAAATAAATAAATAAGTAAATAAAAATAAAAATTATCCATTTTGATTAAAACAATATGAGTCAATGTTCTGCAGCCCTTCACCTAGAGTTCCGTTCTAGAGATGCAAAAGAAAGCCTGTAGGAACTTCTGTCTCTTGTTTTAATTAGCAAACCAATTCTATATCTTCATATTTACATTTTTGACATTTTTACATAATATTCGTATCCAAGAAGGCCTAGGAGATCTGGACCCTGAAGACTCCATTAGACTCTTCCCCAGGGAAATCTCAGGTTCTGAGAGAGTGGGACTTGAACAATCTACCCAAGGAGAGGCCCAAGCAACTCAGACTTCGACTTGTACAGTGATCAGGCCCTGTGAAGGAAAGAAGCCCAGCCAGGATCTAACTGACTGTGCATTTTCAAACCGTTCTCTTCTGACCCCCAGGGCTTGGAGCAGATCCAAAGATCCTCAAACAACGAACTATTCCCATCAAACAAAGAACTATTCCCATCAAACAAAGAAGGTCTTAAACCACCTAAAAGGAGATCATTTGTCATTGCTTTTTTTTCTGCCCTAAATACTAAGGTTCCGAGTAAGTTAATATTTGGAAAAGCAAGTCAAATTAAGTCTGAACATGACTACACCAATAAACACGTTCCCCTTAACCAACAAGCCACTCACCCCAAAGGTGTCTTCCTCTGGTTTGTGGGTCACAGTGATAGGAGGTGTAGGGCTTACTTCAGACTCTGAAAATCAAATACAAAAAGAGAAGGACATTTAGCTTCCTGGCCCTGGGAGGCCCAGACAAAGTCCCTGCCCACCTCTCGGTCCCTCTTGATACTTCCTGTTGGAGAAGGCCCTCTGGAGGCCACGATCCTCCAGGCCTCCCTCCCAGATTTGCAAGCGACCCCCTAAGGGCAGGCCCTGTCTGGCCCCCTGGCTGGAGCTCCAGCTGAAGGACAGGCTCCATAGGGGGAAAGGGCCTTCATTCCCATCTTCTACCTCCACCCCAGAGAAAATACTGTCACCCATGCATGAACTATGGGATGGAAAAGAGGAAATGACTTGGGATCCAGGCCAGGTTAGGAACTAGGCAGCTGTTCCTAATATTCTTTAACTCCTCGCCGAGGGCATCTCGTACCCCATCCCTGTGCTCCTCCTGCACCCATCCTCTCTCCCTCATTATTCCTCAGTGAGATCAGGCCTGTGGTCTCAGAAACAACCCAGTATCCATCTCCCTTACACTGATTTCAGAACACAATGGCAGCTCAACTTGAACAACATAACCACCTGATCAGGAAATACCGCCTTTATCCAGAAAACCTGGATAGGAAGCCACATATTGGCTTGTCCTCCAGCCAGAACTTGTCCCCCCTGGCAAGAAATGGCCCCAACTCAGAATTCTGTAAAGGGACATCTGTGGGATTACAAGTCCTCAACATCATGTACATCCACAGGACTGGGATCCCAGTTAGAATAAGACAAGATTCCATGTTTGTATAAATATATCAAAAGAGACTTTTCTGTCATGTACAACTAAAAAGAACAAATTAAAATGAAAACAAATAAAGAAAAGACTGAAGACAACTAAGAGAATCATAGATGATATTTACATCAGTGCCAAATGGCCAATAGTACCACTAAACAGGACAGACACTGGGCAGAAATGGAAATGACTACTATTATTCCCACAGGCAAAACCTCAAATCCTTTTAGGATTATCTAGCCTTAGTACCAAATCACTTATATACTGAGCCTCAATTATTCCATTTGGGGACCACATGTATTCATTAAGAGACCTTATAAATCACAACTCTACTTGGGGGTGGGTTCTGGTCAAATTCTTGGGCCCTTGAAGCAAGTGAGAACCATTAGTAGGTTTATAAGTTCCATATGGTTTCTGCCAGAAGAATGGAAATTTTGAGGAGGGGTATACCAGGGCACATAAAACCGTACGGTCATCCCCTTTTTGTCTAGGTAGGGAGACCCATAACATGACCATACCTTAGAAAACTCCCTGGGGAAAACTGAGGCAATGAGCCAAGAAAAAATGGGCTTGGAACTGTCCAAGTAAAACTGCACTTCTACACTCTAGTCCCTTTTCAAAATTCACTCAGATGCCCAGTGCTACTATGGGGCAGGAAATAATGTGAAATAGGACAGAGGACTGTTTGGATTCCATAGCTACCAAAACTATCAGAATAAATCATTTTCAAAGCAAAAGGTAAAGCGGACTTACCAAAGTCAAAGATATCTGTGCTCTCTGCAAAAAAAAAGGACAAACAGGTCGTTAGCAAACGTAAGACAAAATAGAATAGGCACACCACATCATACTGATAGCTGTGACCTCTGCCACTCCCCATGATCCCCTATTCCCATAACAAATGACACATGCTAAAATTCCTGACACACCATATGTGCCCTAAGCATGGCACCAACTCTTTACGGAGTGGTCCTCCAACTGGGAGAAGGAATTAGAGGTAAAGCTCCTGGTTCCAAAGGCGGAGACCCACATGGGAACCAGAAACCAAACTGGTTTCATTATGAGATGGGGATTTAACCCTGATCCACTATCTCACCTATGACCCTTCCTCCTTCAGGATCCAGAGTGCTGGCCATGGTGTGGCAGAGTGGGGCCAACTGTGATCTCAAGTTGAAATTGATAAGTGCAGTTGATTCTAGTAGGTCACTGAGAAGTTGGGAGTCCCTCTAGATTCCCATCTAGATTCCATTCTCTAGAATCTGCCCATCCTTCAGATGGAGACAGTTATTTATTTGAGCACTGGCCTATAGAAGTAGCTTACCAAATAATGAAAGCTAATCCTAAACTGGGCATTGATTATGAGCCAGAGGCTGTGCTAAGCATTCCAGGTAACATATCACTCAGTCCTTACATCCTTGGAGGTAGGAGGCAACATCTCCACTTAAACAATCAGGGAACGGGTTATAGGGATTAAGTAATAAATTAATGCCATTCATCTAAGAAGGGATTAGAGCTGGATTTATAACTACTCTACCAGAGACATTTAAACTTTAATGTGCAATGGAATCATCTGAAGGGCTACTGCTACCTTTCTTCACAGAAAGGAATGAGTATTCCTTGAAGAAATGAATGATTCAGGACCAATATAGAGGAAACGCAAGATGGGGCTAGAATAGCTTATAGTACTAGAGAGTGAAAAAGTGCTTGAAGATTAATGGGGACCTAGAGAGAGAGCTGAGAAGGGGGCTTCTAATAGCCAAATGTAGAAAAATAGTAAAAGCCATGGATTATCATGGACTGAATTGTGTCACTCCCCACCAAAATCCATGTATTAAAGTTGTAACAGGACTGGGGTGTGGCTCAGTGGTAGAACGCTTGTTTTACATGTGTGAGGCACTGGGTTCAATTCTCAGCACTGCATATAAATAAATAAATAAAATAAAGATCCATCAATAGATATATATAAGTTGTAACATCCAATACTTAAAAATTTGACTGAATTTTAAGAAGATACTGGAGATAAAATGAGGTCATCAATGTGGCCTCTAATTCATCATGACTGGTGTCCTGATAAAAGGAGATTAGGACCCACACATGCACAGAAGGAGGCCAGGTGAGGACAGGGAGAACACGGCACCCACAAGCAAAGATCAGAGGCCTCAAAAGAAACCAACTCTACCAATACTAAATCCAGATTTCTAGCCTCCAGAATTGTGAGAAAAATGCATTTCTGTTGTTTAAGCCATTCTGTCTACAGTACGTTACTATGACAAACCTAGAAAAAGAATACATAAATTATAAAAATATCTACAAATCCATACGGATACAACAAGTAATTGAATAAATAAATGGGGGAAGAAGGGAAAGCTCTTCCTTATGGTAAAATTCCAGCTAGTAGACAGAGAAGGAATGATAGAAATAGAAAAATCACCATTTGGCAAGTACTACAGTAATAATTGTTTCAGGCAAGAACCATCAATGAATGCTAAAATTAATGCATAAAAGAATAATGAGAAACAAGCCATTTATGTGGTTTCAAATAATTATCCTTACAAAGGGGAAAAGAGTAACTTTGCAATGGAGGAACCTAGTAGACACCATCTTGACCAAATGATAAAGTCAACATCACTGATGACAAGACGTAAACACTGTGCACTCTCTGATACAGTGTACCAGAAGGGCAGAGCGTCACTTCTGTGATGTTCTTCAAAAATGCATAACTTGAATTTAGTCATGAGAAATGAATACAAATTGAGGGATATAGTCTACAAAATATTGAGTATTCTACAATGGTGCGAAGAGGGTGTACGATAAAGACTGGGGAACTGTCTCAGGCTTAGAAATACTAAGTTAAAGTAGAAATAAAAGCAAGATATAATTCTGAATTGGATCCCAGGTGACAAAAGAATGTCAGTGGGACAAGTGATAAGATTTAAGTCAAGCTGGACTGGGTGTGGTGGGGCATGTCTGTGATGCAAGCAACTTGGGAGGCTGAAGCAGGAGAATTTCATGTTGGAGGCCAGCCTCAGCAACTTCACAAGACCCTGTCTTGAAATATAAAATAAAAAACGGCTGGATATGCAGCGGTAAGTACCCCTGGGTTCAATCCCCAATACTAAAAAAATAAAAATAAACAGAAACACCCCCAGAATTTCTGATACGTAGGTCTGGGTGGGTCTCAAGAATTTGCATTTCTAACCAGTTCTCAGAGATGCTGATGCTACATTATACTACACCTCTGCCTGCCACACCCTGAAAAACAAGAGCAATTCATTCATTCACTCATTTATTCATTCACTGTGGGTCTCCTACTTACCAGACCTTTGGCTAAGCCAGAACGGCCACGTAACCATAGATCTATTACGTATCTAACTACCTGTGGGGATGGGATGCTTTGTGTGATGGAGTCCTTCAGAGAAGGTCCTATTAACACTGTCATTTGATGGCTTGTTTGTTGTCTGCTGTGTTGTCACAGGGGACAGCAACAGAACTTTCTCCAAACCCCTGAACATACCCCTTCACGTCACCACTCCCTCCTCAACTGCAGATGGCCTGACTTGAGGGGAGGATGGTTGAGATGGGCCCCTGGCTTCAGAGCCTGAGCTGAGAGAGGGGCCAGATCCATTTGCAGAAGCTATTAATTTGCAAATTTCTCATAAGGCTCCCATTTATTAGAGAACATTCTCATGTCAGCCAAATGTTTTGGCTGAATCTCTTAACCCTGTAATCTCCAAATCAGCTTACGAACATTAAAGTCTTCTGCTGGAGCCTGGAAGTGTTTATACATTCAGGAACCTCTGGAAGAGGGAGACTTGGGCTGCTCTCTAACCTGTGGGAGGGTCTCAGAAGTACATAGCAGAGGATGGTCCCATGAAGGCTCCTCCACTCTGACCCCCATCAATAGGCCAGGAGGAGGACCGGACCAGCATGCCAAGCACCACAGGAATGCCAACTGGGCTGCACAATGAATGGAATGCACGTGCCCTCTACAGCCCAGACATTAACTCCCCGAGAAGTCAAGGATTCATCTGCACCACAAGCTTAGAGGGAGAAGCGCAGAGACAAGTAATTTGCCTGAAGTCACACAGCTAAGGAGTGATGGAGTGAGTTTGAACCCTAGCAGGTGGCTGCATAACCATCACCCTAGACTGCCTGAAGTCTATTAGAATCTGCTAGTTTTTTTGGTTTTGATTTTATGCATATGTTTTTTGTTTTATATTTTTGTTGTTGTTGGTTTTGATTTTACAGTACTGGACACTGAACCTAGAAGTGCTCTACCACAGAGCTAATGTCCAACCCTTTATTATTTATTTGTTTTTCCAAGAACAGTCTCACTAAGTTGCTCAGGCTGGCCTGGAACTTGTGATCCTCCTGCCTCAGCCTCCCGAAGTATATGGGATTACAGGCATTCACCACCATGCCCAGCTAGGACTTACTGGATCCACCAGAGATTGACAATTGGTTCTAAATGTCTGAATTCACTTTATAAATCTAGCAATGGCCAACAGCAACTAAGTCTTTTCTCTGTGCAGACATACTGCTGAGCCCTTGCATCTGTGACTTCATTTAATCCTCATGACAACTTAGGTGGGGGTGGGAGGGTATTGTGATCATTCCCATTTCACAGATGAAGAAACAGAAGCATAAAGTACTGACCATGGACTAAGCCCCATTCTAAGATCCCAGGCCACTTGTCTGGGAGGACCACAGATGGGATGTGCAACTAAATCAGGCTGATTTTAGAGCCCTTACTCTTAACCTTGACGCTTGGCTGCCCAGAAGCAAGGGAGAGGTACGTATGGTAAATAAGATCTTCTCCACTCCCTCCTGTCAGGAGGGAAGAGCAGGGATCTGCAGACTGGCTTTGTATCTAGTGCTCAGCCAGCGTAAGGTTTATTTGAGAGGGTTATATGGTATCCTTGCCTGTTCCCCCAGATAATTTACTCTTCTGAACATTTAGACATCTTGTCACTTGACATGACTGGCCCATCTCTTCCCTGTCATTACCTTTTCATCATCCATTGATTCCTTTAACATAAAGTCTCATAAAACAAGCAACCTCCACACAGCGTGGCCCTGGCAGAGTGTGGATGGGGCTGAGAAACACACCTCAGGTGAGCTGCCTTCTCTCTGAGCTTCTGTGTGGCTCCATCCTTCGCCCCCCTCCTGGAGCCAGATCCCCACAAAATGCCACAGCAGTAGATTGCAAAGGAGGGATATCCCAGTCACCTGGGGGCTTGATGAAGTACAGCTGTGGGACCCTGCCCCAGAGTTTCTGATTTAGAAGAACTGAAGGGGGTTTGACAATTTCAATTTTAATCCAGCTGATGTTGGGGCTGCTGGTCTGGGGACCACACTTTGAGAACCACTAGCCTAAGGAGTCTTTGTAACTGACTGTGGTGATAAGGGCATCCAGGGACTAGGAGATGGGCTGCTACAGCTTGTGGGGCATCAGGGAATGTAGATGCTGCTTTCAAATATCAGAATTCAATCTCTAATTAGGTGGGTACAAGGGGAGCAAAGGACTGGGTCTAGCCTGATTTTATGACCTTGAGAGCACATTTGAAAGCCTCTACTTCTACAATACAGGCTAGGATCCTTCTCCCTGAGGGAGCCAAGCATGGTCCTCAACAGGAATTGTCTTGGGGTTTCTTACAGGGCCTGCTGGAGATGATGCTGGAAATGTCAGACCACTTGAGATATGCAGCACCTAAAACATCAGCATGCTCTCGATCCTCTCTGCAAAGACGGCTCCCTCAAACCCTGGACCCCAGTGCCAAAAATTTAGCTTTGCTTGTGGCCTTCAGTTGCCCAGCTTCACTCTGATCCCAGTTCCCTTGTCCCGACATAAATAAGCCTCCCAGAGCCACGGCCCTGTAGCTAGCTACAGACCAAGAAGTCACCTTCATGAAAACAGATGCGCTGCCGACCAGCAAACAAAAAGAGGAGCCAAATTCTATGACATGTGCTCTGTATAACTGAACTCATTTAAAAGCCACAAAATGCCAGATGTGGTGGCAATGTGCTGTAATCCCAGCAACTCAGGAGGCTAAGGTAGAAGGACTACAAGTTTGAAGCCACCCTGGACAACATAGGAAGACCCTGCCTCAAAAAAATAAAAATAAAAAGGGCCGAGGATGTAGCTCAGTAGTAGAGCACCCCTGGGTTCAATCCCCAGTATATCACAAAGAAAGTAATTAATTAAATAAATAATACAACAATAAAAGCCACAAGACCCTTACAGGAGCAGTATCATCATGCCCATTTCATAGTTGAGGAAATCAAGGATTAGAAAACTACCAGGTCCAGGATCTCCCAACAAATAAAGGGCTGGGGGGAAATTCTCCACCATTATTGACCATCTCTGAAGTCCTGCTCTCTCTCTGCTGTAAAACAGTATGCTCTTAGATGGACAATCGGGTATTTCTGAGATGTCTTAGATTTTGCTCGGAGAGGTTTTGGAAAATAGAGACTTCATCTTAGCTTATATAAAACGCAGAGGGTGCTACCGGTGCCCCAGTGTGTTTGGTTACCTGCTATAACTATACGAAGATGAGTGACTCTTCTCCTCTCAAACTACCACCCCCACCCCCAACTCCCAGAGGGAACCTGTGCACCTCAGGGCCAGCTGGGCTGCCCTCACCTGGAAAGGGCTCCTTGAGGAAGTGTCCATTGATGGTCTGGTTGGCCGTGCCCAGGGGGTTTTTAGCAATAAGGGTGTAGTTGCCGTTGTTGTAGTGAGTGGGCTTGTTGAAGAGCAGGCAGCCCTCAGAGACCTCGCCTTCCTGGTAGTACTCCACATGGATGATCTTGGACTCCCGCAGCGGCTGCCCGTTGTGCAGCCAGTGCAGCGTTGGTGGCGGGTTCCCGCGCACCACAAACTCGATGCAATGCTCCAGACGCAGCTCAGGCTCCTCCAGGCTCACCACGCGTGGGGGGTCTGTGGGGGGAAGAGGCCAGCTGAAATCCTGGACAGCGGGACTCCTGGGTCCCAGAGCAGCCTTCCAGCAGCAGAGATGGGATCCCCGTTCTCCCCCACCCAGCTCTGAAAAGACAGAGAGAAGCAGAATCCCACCGCCCCCCATCCAGGCTTCCTGGATCTATCTGAACTGCACGATTCCCTCTCAGGGCATTTTTAGGGGTTCAACCACAGATAGAAAAGGCCAGCTCAGGAGTGTCCTGAAGATGTAGTTGAACTGGAAGCACAGCATCTTCTGAGGGCAAGGATACCCTTTCTTGAGTTTACTATATAAGAACTTTTTTCATTTTATTTATTGTTGGTGTCGGGGATTGAACCCAGAGACTCTATCATTGAGCTACATCCCCAGCCCTTTTTATTTTTTATTTTGAGATAGAGTCTCTCGCTAAGTTGCTTAGAGCCTCACTGAGTTGTTGAGGCTGGCCTCAAACTTGTGATCCTCCTACCTCAGCCTCCCACATTTCTGGAATGACTAGTGTGTGCCATTGCAGCCTGCATTCAAGCAATTACTTCTCAGTCCTGCCCTATGAAAGCTTTTCTGCCTGTAATGGTAGCCCAGGGTCACTGCTCTCACTCAGTTCTAGCAATGTCTCTGCCTCTCCCCAGACTCTGCACCAGCATCCTCTTAGTACCCAGCCATCCTGCCTGAACTTACAGTAGACAGTGAGGGCAACACTGGCATTGCTCATGCCCACCACATTCTCCGCAATGCATGTCAGGGTGAAGCCATTGTCCTCGCTCGTCACATTCACCAGTGTCAAGTTGATGGCATGTACATTAGTCCAATTCAGATTTGTCTGAAAACCCAAATAAAAAGACAAAACTCAGTTTCTACAAGGGCATTCTCCTCCCTAACCCTGGACACCTTCTGGATTCGAGAGGAAGGCACAACAGGTGGGGAAGATATACTAGTTAAAGAACACTGACCAAATGTCAAGCTCTTCATGGTCAATAACCGTCCTCCCATTAATGTAATGTTTTGAATATTAGCATTATACCCATTTCACAGATGAAGAAACTAAGGTACCCAGAGGTTGATAGTATGCATAAGGTCAAAATGGCTAGAAAATATTTCAGCTTGATGGAATCCAAGTCCACATTTCTTCCTATAATGACAGAACCACAAACTTTCCCTCTTTATGACTAACAGGTGACCACTCCTTAGCACCCCAATGGGTGCTGATGCCAGGATGCCTACCTGGTGGGTGTTGATGGACTGCAGCCCTGTGACTATCCAGTCCACATCAGGCAAGGGTGATCCAGAGCCGTTGCAAGTGATGACAGCATTGTCACCCTCTCGAACAGTAAGGTTGACATGGCTCACGCTGATCTCAGGAAGGTCTAGGAGCAAAGCAGGTAACAGATGGAGTGACAAGACAGGTGAAGACCCCCAAAAGAAGCTCTCTCCATGGGGCTGATAATGGCACTTTTTGCCTTGACCAACAACAACGCCAACACAATTTGTTTGAGTTCTTGGAAGACCTTCCCCAAACTCCAGATGCTTTACACCCCCTTCCCAGTAGACATCAGAGCTCAGAGTTGAAGCCCATACAGTTGTTGCTCCCCTCATCAGGGCACGGATGGGGCAGCTGCCCAAGGAATGCATTTTAACAACTAAACCCAATGGCTCCGTTCTACTTAGGGAAGTGCGACTCACACAATTGGTGTGCTTGGTCACCACAGGGAACCATCTAGAAATTCAGATTTCTGGGACCCATCCCTAGACATTGTGAACTCAAAGGTCTGTGGTTGGGCCCAGAAATTGGCTTTTCTCAAAGCACCTTAGAAACTTCCAATAGAGGCAGTCTGGACACCACACTTTGAGACATGCACCTTCAGATATGGTTGACAAGAAAGGGCATTCTGGTCTGATGAGAAAAGGGGGGCACAGAACTCCTGTCTGCATTCCCGTAACCAACCTTCCCTGGAGGGCTCAGGAATGGGAATGACCAAGGAGGGAGAAGGCTAGTCGGATCTGCACCTGACTGCAGAGGTCAAGGCTGGAAGAAGGCCCTGGCATGCCAGGTCAAGGTCCAGCCCCTTGGGGGTGGGGACCCAGGAGTGCCTCCAGGAGCCGGGGCTGGGGCCAGGCTCTCACTCACCACACTGACTGATGTTCATGCGGAAGAGGGGGAGCTGGGAGCCATCGGCGTTGATGCAGTAGAGATTCTGGCTGTTGAGCCTGGCCTCCCCCTGCTCCTGCCACAGCTGCATCCAGCGGATGTCGCAGCTGCAGTTGAAGAAGTTCTGCTCCAGTCTCCTGTGGGCAAGAAGAGAGGGGAAGGAACCCCTGAACCGAAGATGGCCCAGCTCCCTCCCAGCGCTGAGGCCCACAGGGCCCCCACCAGCTCTTTGGGGATCAGGGAGAGAAGGAATTAAGCCAGCTCATGAAAGAAGAAAGAAAAGACAGAAGAATACAACTTATAAGTCCATGAATTTATTTAGTTTTAAAACTAATAAACTCATTTTTTTCTAACAAATGACACCCATCTCACTTAATGCACCTAAAAGAAGAAGAAAAAAAAAAAGATCCTTTAAAATGCATCAGGATGGGATGCTCCTATTCTCAAAACCCTCCCATGGCTTCCCATCTCAGTGAAAGTCAAAGACAAAACCCCGAGTAGCCTGCACCATCTCCATCATCTTTCTCATGTTACCTCCTACCTCTCTTTCCCTCTCCTCTCTATTCACCCCGAACTTGCCATTGCCAAGTTCACTAGCATGCATGACTGGGTCATTCCCACCTCATGAACTTTGTCCTTGCTGTCACCTCAGCCTGCCAAGCTCTAACCTCACTCCCTCACTTTGAGGAATCATAGAACTTTCTACGACCACCCTCTGTACAAAAACCACTGCCAACCCCTGTGATGATAATGCCCAGGCCCTGGCCCTGCTGTGTTCTTCTTTCTAGAATTTACCATCTCCCAGCATCCCTTTAAATATATATTTCATTGTGTGTGTATGTGTGTGTGTGTGTGTGTGTGTTTCTATCTCCCCAAAGAAAAATTAAGTGACATCAAGATCACAGATGCAGTCTGTTTTGTTCACTGCTGTATGCATGCAGTACCTAAAACGGAGCTTCACACATAAATTCTTGTGAATAAAAGGAGAGATAAAGAGAACTTTTCCCTGAGGGAATAGGTGGTTAGCTATTTCCAAGATATACTCAAAGCCCATCTTGGGACCAGCTTTATTTCTTCATGAATTCAATGACTCGTTAATAAGCACCTGTTCCAGATCTGCCTGTGGGTTGAGTGCTGTTAATACAGAGACCAATGAGACAGTTCCTGCACTCGGCCCGGTGAAGAAGAATGTCTGATGGAGGAAGGGTCAAGTTCAAAGTCCTTCCTCTCCATGATTTGCCTTGTGACTTGGAGAAAGTCACATCCTCCTCCACGGGGTTATTAGGAAAATGAACGGCATTAATCAATCCCAAAACTCTTAAAGTAAAGAGCACCCGGCAAATCTGATCATTATGAAGAATATGATTCTCTGGACTGTGAAGGGGATCAATCTGTTGGTGCCCAGAGGGAGGGCACTTGGGTCACTGCACTAAAACCCTGGTTATTTTTGACAACTGGCAAATTCCAAAATAGTTAAGCATGCATCAGCATTAATCAGATTTCAGGGGAAAGTGAGGCCCCTGGGGAGACGAATCAGTGTTTTGAAGGCACCAGGACACTTCAGGTAGAAGACAAATACCCCTACAGGACAGTGTCCTCTTCACCTAAAAATGTCCATGACTTCTCTCTGCACAGGGCACTCTCTCAGGGGTGGGGGGCAGAAAAGGAAAGGGAATTAGCCGCCTTTACTGAACTTCTGCTTCTCACATCTTCTAGGAGATGGCCAGGATCACCCCCAGACAGAAGAGAGTGCCTGTCTAATGTTTGGAGTGGGTAAGTCACCTGTCACAGCCCCTCTGCTGGTATGGAAGAGCTGTCTCAAACCGCAGTCTGTCAAACTCCAAAACCCATGCCCTGGCCACCCCACCTACCCAATACAGAGCATGGCAGGGCTGAATGCAGCTGCCAAGAGGAGTAAGAGAGGACCCTGACTTCAGGAGCTCCCGGAGGTAGAGACCAGGGGCGGGGAGGGCTGGAGGGAAGCCGTGAAGGCAGAGGGAATATTGCTGGTGAGGATGTGGACAGGAAAGCGAGACTTAGCCAAGGAGCACTGGGAAATAAAGCTGGAAGGGTGAATGGAAGCCAGGTGGTGGAGGAATTCCACCCACATCAGGAAGCATGCATCCAGGTACATCCAGAATGTATCCAGGAGACAGTGGGAAACCAACAAGGCCCTTAGAACTAGAGGACAAATAAATAAAGTAACCCTATAAAAGAGCAAGCCAGCGAGACTGTACACAATAAACCAGAGAGGAGGTGGGCTGAGACATAGGATATCTCATAAACACAGGTCACCATGTACCGTTGGGTAGTTTGTGCATTTCTCAAAGAATCCAAACAAAGCAATGAAGAGGGAATGAAATCCAGACCCTGTGCTCTGAAATGGGGCTGTGTTCGCCCAGAGGGGGCATCTTTCTAACTCACACCCGGGCATCCTGCAGTCTAGTAGGGCCCAGCTCATCATTCTCAAACTTTTGGTCTCAGAACTCCTATTGACTTAAAATTTTTCTGAAGACCTCAAACAGCTCTTTCATGTGGGTTACATTTCTCGCTATTTACCATATTGGAAAATAAAACGGAGAACAATTTAAAACAGCAGAATATATTAGCACAAGTTCATGGCAATGAGGTCATCCCATGTCATTCAGTCGCTGAGAAACGCCACTGTACCCTCCTGGGATAATAAGAGAAAGGTCAATGATGTGCCAGTGTTGTTAGGATAGATCGGACCTTGCATTCTCCCTGAAGGGGTCTTGAGAGGCCCCAGGCGATCCTGGGATCACCAGGTGGGAACTGTCACCCAGTAAATAAGGGCCAAGAGTAAGTGGCAGAAACTGGGGAGAGGGAAGGGTGGATCCCACAAACATCCAAAGGAAGTCGAGGCACCATCTGACACTTAGTTGGGAGGAAGAAGAAAAGGAAAAGTAGAATACGAGATTTTAAGCTCCAGGGGACAGGAAGTCAATGGTGAGGAGAACTGTCTTTGGTTGGAAGCAGAAGAGAAGGAATCAGTGGAAAAGAGGAGATGAGAACTATTAGGAATGGGGAGGTGGGGGTGATCACCAGTCCCTTGGGGAGGTAAAGGAAGGATGAGCCAGACCCAGTGGCATATGCCTGTGACTAGGGAGGCTGAGGCAGGAGGATTGCCAGTTGGAGGTGAGCCGCAGCAACTTAGCAAGACCCTATCTCAAAAGAACAATAAAAAGGGCTGGGGATGTAGCTCAATGGAAAAGCATTCATGGGTTCAATCCCCAGTATCACAAAAACAAAAAAAGGAGAAGGAGAAGGGCTATGGGGGAAACAGGGGGAAGAGGAAGAAGAGGAAAAGGAAGAGGAGGAGGAGAGAAGAAGTAGTCTTGGAAGAGTTTGCTTTAGGGGTAAGCAAAATGCTAGAACAGGAATAAAGAAGAAAGACAAAGTAGGAAGAAAGTGACAGAGAAATAATAGAAATTATGGATAACAATGGATCACAGGTGCAATAGGGCCAGTGCTATACCAAAAGTCTTCTCTTTTTTTTTTTTTTTTTTTTTTTTGATATCAGAGATTGAACCAGGGGTTTTAACCACTGAGTCATATCCCCCCACTCTTTTTTTATTTTTTATTGTGTTGCAGGGTCTTGCTAAGTTGCTTAGGGCCTTGCCACGTTGCTGAGGCTGGCTTTGAACTTGCAGTCCTCCTGCCTCAGTCTCCTGAGTCTCTGGAATTACAGCTATGTGCCACTGTGTCCAGCTCTACCAAAAGTCTTACACAAATTCTTTTAATCAACCCTCACAGGGAGGAAGCTCAGGGAGGAAGGGGAGGTCTAGTGGCTTCCTTAAGAAAGCAGAAAGTCAAATGTGCCACCTGGTGCGTGTGCAAACAGAGACCTGAGGAGCTGGAGTGGCTTGGATGCCCACTGCAGGGCTGCAGAGAGCCTGGCTGCCCTGCTGGATGACACGAAGGCTCCAGATGCTTGAATATGTGCAAATTGAACCAGGTCAGCCTTGTTTTTCCCAGCTGCTCACTTGACAAGATGTGGTCATTCATTATTAAGTAGGTGTAAAAATACAAATTATCCACCTGGGTTGAAAAGACCAGACAAGCGAGGGGCTTGGCAGTGACGCCTCCAGCCCCAGCAGCACCTGCTGCAGTCCTGCCTCTTGTGGGAGCCTGCGCTGCAACACGTCCCGACTTCTCAGTGGCTCCCAAGGTAGACATGAGTACACAGTGGCACCCTGGGCATCCCACATGTCAAGTGTCCTGAGGCTGGCAGGAGAATTCGGTGAGATGTTTGGGATGTGCCAAGGCTGCTGCCAGGGACAGGCTCAGTAATGGCCCTTGTTTTCTTCCATTCTTTCCCTCCAGGGCCCTCTTACAGGATCTGGTCCAGCTGAAAGGCTGGACTTTGAGATCTGGTCCTTCACTATAATCCAGAGTCTCCTAGAAACTGCAAAAGAATTATGGGAGCCTCTTCCTCGTCTTTCTGGACTTTCCTGTTTTATTTATTTATTTTTTTAATGTGGTACTGGGGATTGAACTCAGGGTGCTCTAACCCTGAGCTACTTCCCCAATCCTTGTTTTTTTTTTCTTTGTTTGTTTGGAGACATTGTGTCACTAAATTGCCCCCACTGGCCTTGAACTGGCAATCGTCCTGCCTCAGCCTCTCAAGCAGTTGGGATTACAGGACTGTGTCACTGTACCTGGCTTAGATTTTCCTCTTAGAGAACAAAACTCATACCTCGCACAAAGCATTTTGAGTCCTAAAACAGTGGCACCCTGGGCATCCCACTGAGCCAATCCGCAGTCATTTTTATATCCTAAGAAGAGTCTGCACAGTGAGGTGGGCAAGAAGAGATGCGCATGCCCTGGATCTAAATGGTGCTGTCCATTCTGGTGCTCTTTTCCCGTCAAACCAGGCATGGAGTGGAGACTTCTTTAGCCAGGGATTCAGAGGCAGATCTGCAGAACCTATAGCATGGCTCTCTGCATTCCATTAGCAATGTGGGTGACCCTGTGAATGCTACAGATGGTCCCGGGACCTGATCACAGCACCTGGGGGCTTCCCACCCTTTAACTCAGCCCCATCCAGATGGACATGAGTACACAAGCACTTTGCAGCAGAGCTGAGGCCAGGACTGGGTGTTCAGAAAACACTGAT